CCTTCACTCAAAGCCAGCAACATGACATCAAGCTGCTTCATGCAGCAATGTTTTCACTAACTGACATCCAAGTTAGTCATTTATCATAGAAGTCCAATCCTGATTTGCACAACAACATATATGCTTATGGAATGTCTGACAGAGCACTTCCTTGTCTGGGGAGGAATCTCTTAATGGCACCATCTGCCTTAAGTCCTCTAAATAAAGTCCCCTGGAATAATTAACCATAAATCCACCGCAACACAATACAGTCTGATAGATCCTTGCTGTGGTCACAGATCACTCCTACCCATTGCTTCCTTCCCTCTTTTTCCTTTCCTCCAGTTTGACTCTATATTGAAGCTGATACCAGGGCTCCTGGGGTCTACAAATTAGCCTGCCTCACGCTGAAGCTCTTTTAAGAAGGATAGTCTATTGTAAGACTCTTACGTCACCTCTTGCAGCAGACCGTGAAACCAAAATTGCCAAAGTAACAGCAGGGGTAAAAAATATTAGTGCCAATGGCAAAAAGAAACTAATTAATTTGCATGAATTAATTCAAAAGCCTTTTATTCATCTTCACCAGGGGTGCCAACATCTGTAGGCCCAATTAAGGCCATTACTCAAACCCAGTAACATGACATCATGCTGCATTATACATCAATGTTTTCACTGAATTACAGTTAAGTTTGTGATTCATCATAAAAGTCCGACCCTGATTTGCATAAGAAGAGTGGTTTAATTGTGGTTATGAAATGTCTGACAGAGTGCTTCACTGTCTAGGGAGACGTCTAATAATGGCACCATCTGTAGTCTGCTATTGGAGCTGCTCTAATCTAAAAGGACACAACAATAAGTCACAGTTGAGCACAGGATAAGAAATGGGAAAAGTTGGTCTAGGAAAAAAAACAACACAGCACAAACATTACATGAATCAGGAACATCATTTACACATCAGTTCATTGACCCAATTTAAACAGAGTTTGTTGGTTTATGCCTGCAGAAATTCTTCAGCATGTCTGTCATCAGCTGACAGGGCGGTCCAGCGTTTGGCACGGTTTCAGCTCATAACAAGAAGGTTCTGAGAGCGGCCCAGCTGGTAGGCTGGAGTCTTATTGTGTGGGTTTAAAATCCTCTCAGCTGGGGCGTTGGTTTTAATATCATCTCAACTTGTTTTCAGTAAAGGAGGTGAGTGAGATTTATATTCTGAATCCTACAAATAAGTTGATTATAAAGCAGAAGAGATGAAGCCTCTAAATCAAGTGCAACATTATTCCTAAAGCGGCATTGGTGTGATATTTCCAAGCTAGATTAGATACATGTACATATCCGACATCACTCCACATGTCCAGTTCTTTCTCGATCTATCCGTTCGTCTGTTTGTGTTATGTGTCGAGTGTGAGAACTGAGCAGTGTGCAGTGCAGCCCTGGGGGAGGTGAAGCTGTATTCAGGAACCTCTATGGGGGCCACAAAGCTGCATTCATGCAGCTGAATAGCTGTTTTCTACAACGAGGCACTAGTCATCCCAACTCCATTGGAACGCCTCTATGAGTTACCACTCTTCTTGCCTTGGTATGCAGAGCGTTATCCTGCAAAAATCACAAATGCTTGGATTACCAAAGGCTACAGAAAAACATTTTCAGGAAAACAATGATACCAGTTTCCAGCCAAGAGGTTTTAAAGGATTTGTTTACTCCCTGTGCTCAGTCCTTCGGATGTCTTTGCTTTTGGGTAACTTCAATTATCAATGTTAACGAGAAAAAAAAGAATCAGAGGAGAGATGAAACAAAATGTCTGCTGCAAGCTACATATGATATGCAGGATTCTGCGATCAGAAAGAACAACTTCATCAAAATATTTATGATAAAATATCACAAGCTGTCCCGACACAAATGACTCTATAGAGATGTCGATCAATACTTTGTAAAGCATGGGATTGTCCAGGCTAGAGAGAAAAAAATAAAAACATAGCAGGAAACTATGGCTGGGGTGAAAAAAGCAGGGTGGGGGTGCAGCTACAAAGTCTCATTCAGATTCAGCTAATGTTTGTTTCCAATTAACCGAGTGCTGGAGTCATGATTCCCCACATCGACTTCCTGTCAGGAGAGTCTTGCTTCCTCCCACAGCACATACTGGTGTAGACTCTCCCCCCCCTTAATTGGTCAGTTGGAACGATCCAACCAACTGTCAATCAATGGCTCTGACCTCCAGGGTTTGGAGAGGCTGGGGGTCTGTCACCTCATTTAAAGCACTTATGCAAATGTTGTTGGACTCTCCAAGTTCATGTCTGCATGGGTGGTCTCAGTTAATGAGGAAATATTCTAAGACTTTTTTTTTTAGGTGTTTGTTAGAAACTGAATGACTATGCTAAAATGAATGTTGAGGAAATGCAGTTTAAAGGCACTTGGTAAGGAAACTTTGGAGAAGTCTTGATTTGGTCTTGAACAGCAGAAACTTTTAGCACAACTAAATCTAGAATTCCCAGCTGCACAGAGAGAGAAACAAATGGAACTAAGCCGGGCGTACACATTTTTTTCAATCGTTGCATGCAGCTACAGCTCATACTGTATGACTAAACCGCAAGGTTTCGTCGTACAGTGTGAGTTCACAGCTCACAATCTATGTGTAGCACGACGCTCTGATGCGATCTACCTGCTCACACTTTACATCTAATAACCACATTGGGGGGTGTACTTTGGTGGTGCAGTGGTTAGCGCCCACGACCCATGCACTGAGGCCTTAGTCCTCGACTCGGCCAACCCATGTTCGAATCCATCCTGTGCAATTTGTGCAATATTGTGCTGAAAGCCTTAAAAAGAAAAGGAGGCGATGCATTTGGACGAAGATAAAGTGCAAACGTGGCTACTACGGTTTGTCAATTTTACTGAGAGAACTCAATTTCACTCGCACCCCCGTCATGCTTCTGTGTTTACATCTGGAAGAAGAAAAAGAAGAGTCTTGTTTGCGCATAGTACCCACTGAGTGATTTGCCCATGACAAACGTGTTTGATTTTCTCCAGACCTCACAATTCCTGATCGGGAGGTGGCCGTAAGAGGCTGATCGCCCCTCATTACCCCCTGTAAACTACACGACGCACTATCAGGCTGAAAGTCAGCCTGATCGGAAAATTCTCGCACGACCCCGAAAAGGGTAAAAAAAACGCACAGTGTAAGCACAGCTTTAGATGAGGACTACGGCTACGACCACAGCACTGGGAACGAAAATTAAAGACTATTTTTAACGTGCACTTCCCAGCACCTTCATTACAAACTGTGGTCAAATGAACTGAAAAAAAACACACTTGCCCTTCCAATTACAGTACAGGATAGGGCAAATGGCATTGACTTGGCATGGTTATTAATGCCAGACAGACAGGTCTGCATACTTCACTGCCCATCAGCTGGGATTGTTTCTTAGAACAATCTATTGGGAGATTGGCCCTAAAAAACAGATGATGTCAAAGGAGGATTAGGACACTAGTTGAAGATGACAGAAAACCATCAGAAGCTCAAATAAGCACTTTTTATAACCAAGGTAGGCTATACACAATAACATGTCTGAACCACAACATGTCAAACCTTGAAACAAATAAAGCAGAGACCCAGAAGAAAGGTAAAATGGTCTGTACTTATATAGCACTTTTTCAAGTCAGGAGACTTGACCAAAGCACTTTACACTACATTCAGTCATTCACGCTTACACTCTGATGGTGAAAAACTACATAGTAGCCACAGCTGCCCTGGGGCTCACTGACAGACCACACCATGAGTAGGCAATACAGTTGAGGTGTCTTTCCAAAGGACACTTATAGCCAGAGACAGGGCTTGAACCATCAACCCTTGGATTACAATGCAAACTCCTACATCCAACGCTACTGTCACCCCCGTCGGAGTGGTTTCTCCTGAACAACACAAGAGCACGGCACTACACTGAAATACAGTGTGTTAGTGGTTAGTTTGTGTGTAACAGTGGCAAGTGGTCTGTCCAACATCTCTGCACTCAGAAGGCGTCCACAATCAACAGATCTCAAGTTTTGGATGTTGTGGAAAGGAAGCACTGAACATCTGTAATGCTGTTATGGTTAACTGGAACAATATTTTAAAATAGTGTTTATAAAAAAACTGTTTTTTAAAGAATAATCAAACCAAAGACAAAAGTTATCTGACCTTATAATCATCAAGGAAAACATGGATGATATTCCTGCTTATAAGATGTATTGTATAGAAATATCTGATGTGTTTAAAACAAAGAACAACTAATAATAGATCAAAGTTTTTATGAAAAGTTCACTAACTTTTGGTCTGTTCATTTGGAAGTTCAATGAAACTGCAATTAATAAATTTATTAAACACAACATTAAAAAAAGAAATATTAGTCAGAGGGTGCTTTCAAGGATTAAAGAGATTAACTGATGTGAGGGAATAACAGAAGACAAGAAGGAGAGAAAAAGTAAACTGCTGATTATTGCCTACAGTCCCCTAAATAAAGTCCTCTAAAACAATTAACTGAGATCCCACCACAACACAATCCAGCCTGATAGATCGCTTCTGGTCTGCTGTGGTCACAGATTGATGTACCATCCTTTGGCTCCTTTTATTGTCCTTCCAGATTTACTGTATATTGAGGCATTTATCAGGGTTTCTGAGGTCTACAACTCAGCCTGTCTTACACTGCATCTAAGACAGACAGCCCACTGCAGGATTCTTACATGATCTCCTGAAGGAGACCATGAAAGCAAAAGTGCAAAGACTTGTACTGTTCTGCTGGATATGTAGAAACATAAAGCAAAGTGTAATAGTCTACTTTTGATTGCCCCAGATAGGCAACTACCTATTTAAGAGAAAATGCTCACAGCCAACATAAAAGAAGGGAGAAGTATTGTAGTGGATGGAAATACCTGACTCTGCAGCATGACAGTCATCTGTTTGACAGTTAGTGCTGGTGTTTTTAAATAATTTAGACAAACATTCAGAACACAACATAGGTGGATTTTAAAAAATAAATGTTATTTTTACTCACCCACGCCGATTTTCTCGTCCTCCGTGGGAGTCCACATGATGTCCTTCTGGGAGCAGATGAAAATCCACGCACAGTCCAGTCACCCGAGGCTTGGCTTCATAGGAATCCCGCTGAGATGTCACCCAGAGAGGGGAAGGGAGCAGGGGGGAGAGCCGGGGAGAGGAAAAGTTTACCGCAGGTTGTAGGGAGGCAAATAAAAAAAGAGAGAGAAATCAGATCTTCAGGTTCTTGAAACTGACAGTTTTTGGCAGATATGTTTAATCCCGTCAGGTTTTGCGCATTGTGATTTCCAGCTCTGAGGAAGAGAAATCCGATAAACAGGGAATCCACAGCGCTGCTGCTTCTACAGCAGAAAGCAAACAGGTTCTGACTGATATTAAAACCACCACAGAGGAAAAAATGTCTTTTTTTATTTATTTATTTAAGTCAAGCCCCATAGAGCTCCTCTTCCTCATTCAGCGCAGCATCTCAGTTTTCCTCTGTTCCATGTTTTCTTTGCGCACGCATGCGTTGCCACTATTAACCTGTCCTGCTGCAGATCCTGGAGAGGGAATGAAAGGAAAGCATGGCTTCCCCTGCTGGACTCTGTTTAAGAGGATCATGGAGAAGGGACTCAGGCTGGAGTTGGTTACAGAGAGGGAGTTTTTCCTCCTGCAGCAGCCGATCATTAAAGGTTTACTTCTGGTGACGTGACGCACGCGCTAAATTGCCACATAACATCATGCAGGTGATGAATGTTTATATCTGCGCGAGACGCTTTGGCAAGCTGAGACGCTCTATCTAATGTGGGACACGGACGGCTATTATTACTGCGTTTGCTAAAAACATCACGCCTGACGCGCGAGCGCCGGAAACGTTCACTTTGAAGTTTTTAAAGCGGTGTCGCTCCTTCACCACAGCATAGTGACATAACTGGTGATGTTGCAAGCGAACATACCGACAGCTGATTAATGTTCATATGACTGTTGGTAGCGAGTCAAAGTTCGGATTAATATCGGGGTAAGAGTGCCACCATGTGGATGTTCCTGGATAGCGCACTAAAACTAGGATTATTTTAATAAACTTGATAATCTGTGAAGGGAGATTTGTTTCTTTATCATTCAATAAAAAAAAGGTTGCTTCAATCAAAAAATATATTTTTTATAAAAATAAAAAAACGTCACTTCAATCAAAAATTAAAACAAACTTTTCAATCAAAGAAAAAAAAATTTTGAATGCAAAAATATATTTGAACTCTGCTATTCTTTGATTGAAAAAGTTTTATTTGGTAGAAGTCCAGTCTTTTTTGTTTAAAGCAACTTTTTAATTGAAGTAACATTGACTCAAATATTTTATTTGCATTCAAAAACTATTTTCAATGATTGAAAGTTAATTTTTTTATTGATTCTGTTATTTGTATCTTTGAAGCAACTTCTTTTTTGATTGAATAATAAAGACACAAATGTTCTACCCATATATGGTTATGAAGGTAGATTTGTTTCTTTATCATTCAATCAAAAAAAAGGTTGCTTCAATCAAAAAATATATTTTTAATTAAAAAACCTTCACTTCAATCAAACTTTTCGTTCAAAGAAAAAAAATATTTGAATGCAAAAATATATTTGAGACTCCAAAAAATACATTTGAACACTGCTTTTCTTTGATTTTTTAAACTTTATTTTTTTTATTGGACCATAAAATGGGTAGGACATTTGTGTCTTTATTATTCAACCAAAAAAGAAGTTGCTTCAAACAAACAAACAACAGAATCAATAAAAAAAAGTATCTTAAATGCAAAGATAAAGGTTTTCAATCATAGAAAATAGTTTTTGAATGCAAATAAAATATTTGAGACTCTCAAGTTGCATTTGAAAACTTTTTTGTTATTATTGAAAATGTTCTCCCAATGGAGAAGCAGCCGCCCACTGCGGAACGTTTGTGTCAAAACTATTCATTCAAAGAAATTTGAACTTTTTGCACTTCAAAAAAAAAGTGATTTAAATAAAACAATTTCAATTTCTATTTTTTTTTTACTTAAAAAAAAAAAAAAAAAAAAACGACAAACACATTCTCTTCAATATTTTTTTTTATTTATTTATTTTGCATTTGCACAGTTTTTTCTTTGATTGAATTTTCTTTCTTTCTTTCTTTCTTTTTGATTGAAACAAATTTTTGGGAATTGAATGATTAAGACACAAATGTCCTACCCATGTATGGCCCAAACACAAAATAGATTACTTCAACCAAAGAGAACATTTTATCTTTTCATTGAAGTTACTTTTTTTTATTGATTCTGTTGTTTGTTTGTTTGAAGCAAATTCTCTTTTGGTTGAATAATAAAGACACAAATGTCCTACCCATTATATGGTTCAATCAAAAAACATTGTTACTTCAATTAAAGAAGTTGCTTAAACAAAAAAGACTGGACTTCTATCAAATAAAACATTTTGAATAAAAAAAAAAGCTGTGTTCAAATGTATTTTTTCCGAGTCTCAGATCAGGTCTTTTTCATTGTTTGAAAAGTTTTTTTTTAATTATTTTATTGCAGTGAAGGTTTTTTATATTAAAAATATATTTTTTGATTGAAGCAACCTTTTTTGATTGAATGATAAAGAAACAAATCTACCTTCACAATAATCTAGGTTAAAACAGGTTATCATTTCCCTTTGTGTGTTTGGAAACTAAAATGATTTATGATCAGAAGCCACTTTTATTATCTTAATATCTTAAAGCAGAGCGTTTAACCATTTTTGGACACTTCATGGTGGATCTTGGAGTGGTTGAATAATTAAACTTTAAAAGCAAAGTAAAGAAATTATGCAAACAAAAATACAATATAATCAATTCATTAGTTCATTCATTAATTTTGGATCTGGTAATTTGTTTATTTCATTTGACTAATTGAATGTAAGAAGTAATACTCCCTGTATAAACTATTTACAAGGAGCATTCACTTATCCGGAGCTGTCTCTGTAGTTATGCTGCTATAGGCTTAGACTGCTGGAGGACATAGGGACCCCCATTTCATCATTCTGCTTCATTCTATCTCTATTCTCCCACTCTGCAGATTCTGTTAGTTCAATCTCGAATGTTCTGCTCTCTCTGCTTTTTCTCATAGTAGCTTTGCCTCTTCTGTTCCTGCTTGGCTG